ACCAGACAATATGCATCACCACTGTGCAGGGTGATATTGTGTTTCTGATGGATGCCTCCAACAGCATAGGTAGCAGTGACTTTAATGTGTCGTTAGAATTCGTCGCCGACTTCGTTCGTGGGTTTACAGTCGGTCGGGATCTTGTGCAGTTTCTCGTCTCATTTTCAAGTTCTGTAAGAAAAGAGTTCAACCTCAACACATACAACGACCAAAGCACATTGGACAGGGTAAGAAAACAACCGAAGAATAAAATGATCAAAATAGAAATTTAAGGAAAGAAACGCGATACTTAAAGTACAGAGTAATAATAATATTTTATAATTTATCTCATTGTGAGTTTTTAGATAAATAAAAACTTCGCTCTCTTCTGTAAACTTTTAACACCATGACTGTCCATTACATGTATCCGAACATCTATCTATCTATCTATCTATCTATCTATCTATCTATCTATCTATCTATCTATATCACAGTTAAGTTCTAACTCTCAGGCATAATATAGTAATAATTAAATAAGTGGAGTAAGATTGAACACAGTTTCAATAGGCTAGCGCTTTCAACTCGTACCACGTACGAGTCTCATCAGGCCATAACTGAATAACGGACATGAAGTAGTAACATATAGTTACGTGACGTCATAACATTTAGGATACTATGACGTCACAATACCAAGGTGACAATGGACAAATAACTCACGCCTTTACATTTAACTTAAGCGCGTATTTATGAATGAAATGTTGCTCTTTTTGAAACAATGTAGGTTCATGATCAAAATTTAGCTTATACAGCGGGAAAACTAAAAAGTTGCCGTTTCCACATGCTTCTAAATGTTCACTGAGTGGAATCGTGCGGTTGTGTGGCTGCTTTTTTTGTGAACGGTGAAGATTCATTCTTCTTTTTAATTTTAGTTCTGTCTTTCCGATATACTTTTCATTGCATCCACTACAAACAATCAAGTAAATAACATTTCTAGTATCACAAGTCATATTTTGTTTTACAGTAAATTTAGTTTATCATATAATGGGTAGGTTTCTCGGCAGGATAAAGCCAACGGATAAAAACGATATCCGTTGGGGTCATATGCGGATAGAGATGCAAATATCAAAGGTCAAGTAGGACTACTTTCACTGTTTATAAACAAACATGGCGTCGCCCTCGTCATTCGGCGATCGAGTCAGAACTAACCATCGGGAATCTGGATAAACTACAGGGATAATTGCTATCATTATCAAAAGAACAGTCTAATATACCGAGAATCAGTGTCTAACTGTGACGTAGCTAAGGCATTTTAAAAGTATTGGCAACTTTGGAGATGTAAATTTTGAAACAATTTTGCAAGGGCACGAGGCCTAGCCAAGCGGGATCAGTAGCCATATCTGTGCTTGTAGACCTCTGCGGCTTAAAACCTTCTCCACATATTAAAATAGTTGGATTGGGCCGAACTATGTTTGAATTGTTACCTTGTTTCGTTTTGTCGCTGTGTGTACATCTGACTACACTTCTTAACGTAATGACAGGACAGACCGACTGTCAACAACGTCTGATCGTGGCCGTGACGTCTCATAGACGAGGGTTAGAGTAGCTTCCCTTTGACAAAGGGCAGTTACTCTAGCGGACAGACCGATGGATTGCGGCGAAAGGCAATTAAAAACAACTGTTGTTTTGCGTATATGTTGCTTCGCCACTGTATAAGAAACAGATTTCAGTTGGAACTATATTGGCTACTGTCACTGTCCGACTGACACATCACTTACCCTGTAACGTAATAAGTATTAATGCGCGCATTCCAGGAAAACTCGCAATGTTTCGGTAATGTTTGTGAGAGAGGGAAAGCGATTTTGAAGCACAGAATTAAAGAATGACATTATATGATAAGAGGTTATCAAGCATGTGTGTTTGGGGATGGTAAATATCTTGTAAATATCCTCGCCAAGGCTCGCTAAATATAATGTTTATTCCTAATGCAGGATATTTACCATCCTCAAACACACTCGCGTCATAACCTCTATATCCTTTGTAATTTGGACTGAACAACCTTCAATTATATTGCTGCAAGTTAGGCAACGTTTTTCACCGCACTTAGAAACTTGTGGAGTGTTGACAACAGAATCAAATTTAGAACTTGTCAAAATCTTTCTAAGATGTTTGAGTTGTCTTTGGCTGTTGATAATTTTGTATTTGCTCAATATCTTCTGCATTTTAGTCCTTTGATTCATAATAGGCAGGTATCGGTGAACCATGGATAATGTCTTTTCATGATTAGGGTTGAAGGTAGATACTAGAGTTAAATTACTCCCTATATTGTTTTCTTCAGACTTTTTTCTCAGTTTTAGTTGCTTAATACTTATTGGGTTCCGTCCAAGCGCAAATTTAAATTAACGGGTATAGTTAACAGAATTGTCAACTCGTTGCGTAATGATTCACGTATATTTCCCAAATGTCATTTATATTCCAGATGCTATTTAAGACACATCGGGACTTTATTTATACAGTATGATTAAACAGATTTAACTGTATCTAGGGTATATTTTTAGATGCCACACATATGTAAAATCAAAAATAATTCCTTAGGGATCCTTTGACATATGTACTTGAAGTCGTACGTGCATTCTGAATGGTTTGTCGTATTTTCGCACAAAATCATTCATCGATAGGGGGACGAGTCCTCTTGCAGGAAAGGGGCGAGTGGTGACGAATGTGTCATTCGATGATCGAGTCAGAATAAACCATCGGGAAACTGAGAAACTATTGGGATAATTGCTGTCATTATCCATAGAATAGTCCACTTTCCTGGACATTAGTGTCTAACTGTGACGTCGCTTGGCATTTTACAAGTTTGGGTAACTTTAATATAGTTACGCCACTGTCTAAGAAACACATCACTTATCTTCTGGCGTAATCTTTATTAATGCGCACATTCCAGGAAAACGTACAATGTTAAGTAATGATGTGAGACATGGGAAGAGATTTTTCGAGCACAGAATTGAAACACTATGTATTAGCTCGCTAAATATAATGTTTCTTCCTAATATAGGATATTTACCCCCCCAAAAAAACAACAACAACAACAAACAAACAAAAAAACAACACCCCCAAAAAAGAAAAACACATTCGCGTGATAACACACACACACTCACACACAGCGATAGCTACATTTCCTGATATTACTTATTACAGTAAACTACGATTAAAACAAACTTAAAGGGACCACTAAGTTTAGTTCATTATAACCGTAGTTCGTTATAAGCATATATACAGCAAATATACTCTAACAGCAAATGGACGGGATCAAAACACTTCGTTATATCCGTCAGTTCGTTATAAGCGTGTTTGTTTTAAATGTAGTTTACGGTATTTATATCAGACTGGCCTTCTTTTTAAGAAAAAACACCTTACAAAAATGCAATATTTTTTTCAACATTCTAAGCATAATTATTGCTTTCAAGAATTGTTGGGGACATTTTTTCGATAAAATCCCAGGACCCCTAACCCAACCCAGGATATCAAATGGTCGGTCCCCAGGAGGCAATGGAATTACGTAGGTCGGGCGGTCATTCTCGCTGACTTGGTTGATTTCATGTAATCGTATCCCATTTGCGTGGAATGTTGAGCATGATAAACCAAAAAGCTGGGTTGTCTGGTCTAGATTCGATTTTTTATAGCCATCATATACCTGGCATACTACTGAGTTCGGGAGACCCGTGAAGATCTAGGGTAGAATAGGTCTTCAGCAACCCATGCTTGCCCTAAAATGCGATTATGCTTGTCGTAAAAGGCGACTAACAGGATCGGGTGGTCAGCTATGTTGGCCTATAATAAATTAATCGTGTGTTTTAAAAGTGCTACCAACCTACTTTGGGAGGTCCCCGTTGATATTCATGGGGCGGGCTAAAATGTTGTTTTTTTCACAGCACATTTTTTTTGGATATTCAGAAAGTTAAGCAAGGGAACAATGCTATTTTGGTTAAATCCTGAGGCCAAGATATAAAATCAACATTACCAAATAAATTGCATTTTACATTTCAGGTGATACGGTGGCCATGGGTATGTATGTAAACAATTGAACAATTTTGTTAGTAATAGTAAGTCTCCATTCGGCATGCCGTCTCAGACCAGTGGAACCTCGTCTGGCTCGTCTGTATGACAATACCATATTGGAACTAGCAATGTGCACATGTTTATCACGTGACACCATGCAACCTGGCGGCAGTCGTTAAGCTAAAATCACTGTTCCTCTTGCGTTCTCTACAGATCAAATCAAATCAAAGGCTCATCCTAAATTATGTTAAGCACAGATTAATAAGTGTAAAAACGGCCTTCGTCAATTGCCTTCATCAAGCAGCGAATGGGAACCCGGTAGGATGAGCTGGTCGTGTGACCATCTAGAGTTTTACTTGGGTTGTATACTCCCCAGGGAGATGATGATGTCATTGAAATCCACAGTGATCCCAGTGTATGTGACATGCATACATGGTGTGGAATCTTATGTAAAATGTATATTATTATTGTTATTAATATTGTTTTTTTATTATTATCCAATCACTTCAAGTACAACAAAAATAGAACTGGCTTTGGGTCGTAAAAGTGTTCTAGCACAGGTTATTGCTCTTCATCTCCGACAGGCTAAAATTATGACATGTTCAACTACGGATAGAGGGAGTGCATGTTTCAACAAAAACACTGTTTGTTGAGACGTGCAAAGACCTCTCATTGTTTATTATTGACTTAATCATCAAACTTGTGATATAACATTCTGAAGTGCGCCGAGAAATCTCATTTCAATCAGACTGTTTACTGATCTGAAAAACACTCCACAAGAGGTTGCTTCAGATAAACCTGAAAGAACTTTGATCGCCCGATCAAAATGAAGGATGTGTGGGTTGTTGAGCCAATCAGATGTCTTCATTTCTTTGTAACCTGATTCGCAAATTTAGATCTTAGTAAAAACCAACATAGAACCCGGACGTTCAGTGAGTACACGGTGCATAAAACATCCACAACAGCATAAATGCTTCATTTGTTCTTAACGAGCAAATAGAAACCTCGACGCTGATTGGCTGTACGAAAGGTTATCTTGAGGCTTCCATGTGAGGGTTAATCAGATCTTCATATAACATATCTCGGTAACAGATGTGATTTTTTTGTAAGAGTCTAATTGCTGTTTGTGGTTGTTTGGTCAGCATGTTAGGTACCCTATTCCTCATGGCGCTGGTAGCCGGGTCTTCAAGCGGACAGGGTGCAACTGGTAAGTTCCGCTGAGACTAATACCCCGTTCACATGCGCTTCTATTCCAGGAGCAAATTTGCATCATGTCTGGAGCAGGTGTGAATGTAAATGTAAATTTGCACTGTGTGTATGTTGCAATCAATGTGAACGTTTATGTTAACGTAAGAGGATAATCTAATTAATATCTGTTCTTTTTCCAACACCAAACAAATTGTCAACAGTTGCCAATCTCATTAGAATAAGATCTAAGTTCTCGCTGCCGCTAAACAAAGATATGAGGACATCCCATTACGGGTCACGTCAGAACGACCTTTCGCGAACTTCGACGGACCACTGAAATGACGGACAAAAAGTCAGCCAATAAGAAAGCAGCTTTCTCGAGCTTTACGGCACGTGTTTCAACCTGGCGACTTCCATTTCAGACTACGCTTGAAAATATGTTGGCACAGTTCTCGATTAAAATTTTGAAAACTTAACAAACGAACATTCCGGAATGTCTAATATATGGTTGATATTGTATGGCAGTGCTTCCCACGCACTGTGCAACGCCTCCTCCGTTTAAATATTTATCCCACGGAAGCGAGAGATAGATGCTAATTTTGATGGAATCAGTCGTACGGGCCGTAACTGTCGTTCGGAATACCCCATGTTAACGTTTTCGAGGTTGCATGATGAGAAAACACATTCCGACCGTCACTTTCATGATCTGGTAAGCGACGCTTTGATTGATCGGATGAAAGGTCGTTCTGATGTGACCCGTAATAGGAACTTTGTTTAGCGATAGCGAGAACTAAGATCTGATTTAATGAAATTGCAACAGTTGCCAACTTTTATGCGTATATACAGAGTTGGGCGGACGGTGTTTTCTTTAAGTTTCAAATCAAACACATGTTGCTTCACGCGAACATTTTCGGTGAAGTAACTCTCTTCTCATTCAACTTAGATTGGAAAACAACCTGTTTTGTGTTGAAAGTCGTGAACAGACTGACGAATATGTGTGCCTTACACAATTTACATAATTTATTTACACACCTGAGAAGCTTTTTATGTGAACGCATCGTATGTATAATTACATATGTGCAAAATTACTTACGTTAGTAAATGTTGTGCATGTTACCGGGGTATTAGAGAACAAATATTTTCAGACAAAGTTCTTTCCAACTGTAGACTGTAGACACTAAATCAAATTGGAATTAGAAAACTGGTATAAACGATTTAAGAAGGGTTAAAGGAAGTTCTATGTTACAAAGTGTTGAAGCAAGCCCACGCAATATAGTCGAACATAATATTTGGCAATTTTGTCCGTATAGTGTGTGCTCCTGACCTTGAACCAAATGTTTGTGAGGAATGGTCCCTAAAAGATATAGAACTAATTGGGCAAGTAATATGTCAATTTTGGTATCGTATACGTCTTGGCATATGAAGACGTTGGCCACACACAAAACATTTCTTTCAAAAACGAGTTTTGATATTGTACGATGCTCGGCTTGTGTTTATCGCGTTTATCGGCTAGGATATGATATTGCAGATGCAGTACCTCGACTCATGATGATATTGAGTTTAATATTATAGAATGTAGTACCTCGGCTTATGATGATATCGATTTTGGCATTGTGCCTCGGCTCATGATGATATCCAGTTTGGTATTGTACCTCGGCTCATGATGATATCGAATTTGGTATTGTAACTCGGCTCATGGTGATATCATGTTTGTCATTGTAGAATGCTATACTTTGAATCATGATGACAGCGTGTTTGATATTGTAGACAGCAGTACCTCGGCTCATGATGATATCATGTTTGATATTATAGAATGCAGTATCTCGGCTCATGATGATATCATGTTTGATATTATAGAATGCAGTACCTCGGCTCGTGCTGATATTGTGTTCGTGTTGGACTCCTCCGGAAGTGTGGGTACAGCGAATTTTGCCACTGAAGTGTCCTTTGTGTCCGACTTCGTCCAAGGGTTTCCTGTGGGTCCCTCCGCTGTGCGCTTTTCTGTGGTCGTTTTCTCCACAAGTGTAACAAATCAATTCAACCTTGATCAACATGACAGCCGTACTGATCTTATTACGGTAATATTTTACTCATTTTTAATATGCTTAATGCATTTTAAACTGCATGTGGGGTGCATTTAAACCGCTGTTATTCATAATACTTTCTTTCATAGTATTATTTATGAAGGTACTTGGGACCCCTATCTCTCCGGTGCTTGTCAGAAGAATGAACTAGGGGACGACCATTCGGTTTTATCTGCAAAAAATATCAAAAGATACATGGACAGACAATTAGACCGACTGTGACCAATTAACACATGCGACTTAATTAAAGGAACACTCTAATGAGTGAAAACTTCGGCTAGGGAGAAATGAGCACTGGGGGCATATCCCTAAACTAAGTCTCTTAGATTATCAACATAGACGAGAACGCCTTCATAACATTGCTTCATAGAGTAAAATCGCTTCGACTGAGCGAGGAAATTCTAAACTTCCCAAAATTGCAAGGTACTCGACCAAAAGCGTAACTTAACTCCGGACAGTTAGGAGAGGGGGAAGAGCTACGGTCACTAGACCGTGAGTAGCTTGCACTCACCGCCCAATATTCAGGTCATAATGTTAATGCCTGATACACCCCGTGAATGCCCGGGTTAGAATTGGTCTTCAGCAAACAATGGTTCTCGTAAGAGGCGACTCACAGGGTCGTGTGGTCCGGTCAACCGGCTTAGCTGATGCATGTCAAATGCACAGATCGAGGCCAATGGTGTCAAACACTGAATTGTCTGGTCCAGACTCGATTATTAACAGAGCGCCGTCCTACAGCTGGAATATTGCTGAGTGCGGCATAAAACAACAAACAAACAATAATCAATCAAGGCCAGGCGTCATAAGTTTTACAAGCAAAACTATCGTACTCGTCCAGGCGTAGTCACCCAAAGACATCATTATTTAATTGTCACCAGAAGAATACAACCTATTCGTGTGAATATCCTCCTGACTTTGGGGAACCTCGTTCAGAACCTATCTCTCTCAGTTTCGTTAAAACAGTCCATTGCAGGTGATATATCGTCTTTAACGTCTTCTGTTGTGTTGAAGGCAATTGAAGCTGTGAGTTACAGCGGTGGTGGAACGAACACAGCGAGTGCACTCTCCTTTGTCCGAAAAAACAGTTTTCTATCCGTTAATGGGGCTCGCATCGGTGTGACGCAGGTAGTCATCGTAATCACAGATGGTCGATCGTCGAACAAGGCTCAGACGGCTTCAGAAGGAAGTTTGTTGCACCAAGCAGGCATCAAGGTCATTTCTATTGGCGTTGGAAGTGGTGTTGATATGGAGGAGCTCCGAGCAATAGCATCCAACAACAACTTCGTATTTTCAGCTACTGACTTCAGTGCATTGGGTATTGTCAAAGGGGAAATACAGAATATAACATGTAAGTTCCACCAATCGGGTTTTGTTCATATTGAAACGTAAGGTTTTGTTTTAGACATTAAGATCAAGATGAACACTCAGCCAGTAAAGGGTTACGATAGTAGTGGCACATATTAGGTGTGTGTGTGTGTGTGTGTGTGTGCGTGCGTGCGTGCGTGCGTGCGTGCGTGCGTGCGTGTGTGTGTGTGTGTGTGTGTGTGTGTGTGTGTGTGTGTGTGTGTGTGTGTGTGTGCGTGCGTGTGTGCGTGTGTGTCGGTAGGAGAGAGGTGGGTGTCCGTCAGGGCGACAAAGACTGCTTGTTTTAAGTTAACAGGTTTGTGTAGTCTGGTGGTCAGCTCGCGCCGGTGACCCGGGCCATATAGCTGGAATATTGCTGAGTACGGTACTAAAAACACAAACACTTAATCAATCAATTAATGCCCGATACTAACATTGGTTTGGCAGTAGTGAGTGAGTGAGTGAGTTGGGTTTAACGCCGCTTTCAACATTATTCCAGTTATATCAAGGCGTGTCAGCTTAATGTGGGAGGAAAGCCCGAAGTGATGCAGGTCTAAGACGTTTTTCACTTCGGTGAAACCCACGACCACGGGTATGATGCTGACAACCTAGAAACGAATTGGGATTCGAACCCATAATCATAGGTTTCTGGCGTGCCCAAGGGACGCAACTCAACACAGCGAATCGCGGCGGGTTTGGCAGTAGTACTGAATAAGCAAATTAGGCTTATTATTCGTCACCTCTATAACATATGTTGTTTATTTAACCAACGTTAAACCCCACTGTACCAACATTGAGCTTTTCTTGTCTATATAGTTTAAAGCCTCTGAAACATGTGTTTTTTTAAAATAATAGATGAAAAGCCGATTATACATTTCCGACTACATCACGAGCATGTGTTTACGAACCTACGTTGAACCTCATTGAACCCGCTTGAGCTTTTCTTGTCCAGTTTGTTTTGATACCATGATTGCAATTGTTCCTTGCAACCGTTTTTTCTGTCCTTTCCAGGTACGGAAATTGCAGTCGATGGTATGTCTGTATGTCTTTTGTTTATGGTCAATTGAAATGCAGCAATTAAGAATTGAGTTCATTCACAATCGGCCTTTGCACTTTTTCTTGCACCTTCTCATTCCACCAGAACGTATTCTAAAATCGATGTTTCTAGTCACACTTTCATTCCACTAGAACAATGCGGCAAAGCTGCCCTGCCAGTAACATCACGCATCCTGAATGCCCCCATCGCTGGACTGTGTGAGTGGCCGTGGATGGTGTCTGTGAGGCTCGGGCCTGGCGACATCCCTGCACACAGGTGTACGGGGGCTCTCATCGGGAAGAGGAGGGTGATCACAACCGCCTCTTGTGCCTCCAGGTAAAGGTGAACCCTGCATCACAAGGCAACCATAGTGTTGAAGTACGTCTTCTTTTCAAAGAAATACCACTTTTCAAAGTCTGAAGAAATATTTTCGGTTTGGTTATATCAGTGCCTTCACGAACGTACAATAAATGGAGAATATTTGAGTTTTCTTGTTACTGAGTGGCATTTTACTGCCTCTGAGCCAACCAGTCCTTGTTTTAGCCCCTTAATGCCGAGCGCCAGGCAGGGTAGCAACAAGTACATTGTCAATCTTTTAACGTCTTTTGGTATAACGCAGCCGGGGATCGAACCCCCCGACCTTCTGCTCACCGTGCGAACCCTCTACCACAAGACAAATGACATGAAAAGACAAATTTTCTATTTATTATATATCCATCTGTATGACCTTAGCCTTAGAACCATATAGTGTCACTGATAACAGAAGTGTTGTTCATTTGAGTGATTTTGTGATACAAATTGTATTGCGACACCAAATACATAACAATTTTGTTTTAATAGTCATCAATATGATTCCCCAGAAGATCTGTATAAAATTCTTCATGTTATATGTTATTACGACTTATAATATGTATCTTATCCATCGTTCTTACGAATGACATTATTATCCATGTGTTTTAAAATCAATAAATTAATAAGAAACCACACCAAAAACATTCTCCAGGTTGCGCAAATTACAGTGCTTCGATACTGATTTCACTCCCAGGTACGTCCCACACTCTGTTATTGTTGGTGAGAACAACCTGCTGTTAGACAACGAAGCCCTGAATGGGAACAACTTTGAAGTGGTTGTTAAGGTCAACAAAACCGTCATCCATCCACTTTATGCAGGGAAAGGTAATTAAAGGACATCTTCCAGGTAACGCTAAGGATAAATGTAAACCAGTGGAATATGTTTAGATTTTACGTTGACTTAATCATTGGACTTTCAGTGTTTTCAATTAATGGTGGTAGACATTTATCTTTATGTTTTTATGCAACCCTGATCAGCACATTAAAATATGGTCTTCCTTTATCAGTAAAACGTTACTTTTAAGGGCCTATATCTAATTACCTTATGAAGCTCAGGATCCCGGGTGACCATATCTAATTATCGCATGGGGTACTGGTGGCCCAGTCGTCTAAGGAGCTGTGCTACCTGTGCCAGAATTCTATGATCGCAGGTTCGAACCCCAGATTCATATTGATTAAGATCATTTACAGCACCATAACCGTGCTCTTGGGTTTGACCAAAGTGGTTAACGCCGACCACATGCGTCACTCACCACCCACACCAAGGTAACACCGTGATACGTTTCGAAGCGGCACTACACCAAGCATACTCACTTACGTTACATTATAAATAACATTTTTGCATTTTGCACATCAATATATGCACCACTATTATCACTTGATAACAAATATGCTTCAGTGTGGAATATTCTTGCCGCAGTGCATTTAGGGGACATCGATGTAGTCTAAAACGCTTCAATTCGCTGCGAAGAGTTGCCTCCCTTAGTCATGCCATCATGCGCAGATCCAAGATAGGCCCTGATTATGATCCTTCGCGAGTCACACCTTAGCCACGATCAACGGAGACGGCTGATCTGTGTTTAGTCTAGTCTAGTTCATCAACTCGAGTGTCACCCCCTCCCCATCCCACAATATCCCACCTGCCCCCTACATTACGCTGACAACCGTGAGATACTGTTAAAAAAGCAGTTCGACAAAACTCACTCACTCACTCACCACCTTTTTCCAATGTTCCAGATAACGATATCGCAGTTCTACATCTAGCGGAAGACGTAGTCTTCAACAGATGTGTCCTTCCCGCCTGCCTCCCTGCACCACGGGATAACCAATGTGAAGACGCCACCATGGAGACGTGTACCTTTGCTGGATGGGGAATATACAGTAGTAGGTCAAATTTTTATAAGAATATCTATCAATTTCGTTTGTTTGTTGTTAAACGACACAGTAAGAAATATTCTGTAAATAATAGAATCTGGATCAGACTAACAGCGATGTCATACTAAACTGATATCACGACATAACTATCACTGCATAGATCAATGCTCCTGATGTCATTCGCGGGATTGTCTGGTCTAGACTCGATTATTTATGGTCGTCTGTATATTTGAGTTTACTGGCATGACTGTGTGCAAATTAACATTTCAAATGTTTTGACAGACACCTGGTGTCGTATCATTCAGGTCAATATACACATGGTTTCAGAGGTGACGCTGTCTCTCTCCCGTCGACTGCGAGTGACCAAGGGCAGGAGTCTCAATCCTACGGTTTGTAATGCCGTCTACACACATGTGAAAAACTACAGCCCACCTGAAAACACAGTCTGCCTAGTGCCAGATATCCCTACACAGGTGCCATGTCAGGTATGTCTTCTCTTGCGTGAGTATTATTCAGGACCATTTAATCACCGTGCATGCGTGTAGGGGAGGAGGAACTTACTGTTTGTTTCTGGATCGTTGTGGATCCTTGCTCACAATGTCAATTACTGGATTGTCTGATCCAGGCTCAATGCAAGGCCGTTGTCATAAAACTGGATTATTGCTTAGTGCGGGGTTAGAAAACACACATAAAAAAGAAATGAAGCGAGCTTTTCAAGGTTTAATTCTACATAATGAATTGAAATTTCCTACCGTCAAGATTGCAGGAAAACAGTTCTTCCATGATGATGCGGGCGTTTCAATCACAGAAGGTTATTGTTATTTGAAACCTCTGCGCGAGCAATGAGAATTGGGTATTTTCCAAATGTATGGTAGAATGATCATTTGATATTTAGGAATTATGCGATGGTTATGTCTCATTTTTTTAAAAACTATACATTTATATACCGCAGGTATCCAGGTACTAGTATCTGCTTAAATGCGGTTTTATTTCACCCCCGACCAGTGGATCCGTTTGCATTCCACTTTTCATTCTCAACTCCCTTGGGAGTATACAACCCAAGCTGCCCAGGGGCGTTAGAAGGTTTTTACATCCACCTCACATACCATTCCCTGCTTGGTGAACAGAGGCACATTTGAACTAAGCCACTTTCCAGGGTGACACCCCACTCATAGAAGTCCTTACTTTACAGGGAGACGAGGGGGCCATGGTCAGCTGTTTGGTACAAGGCAAATGGATTATTCAGTCCCTTATCAACTATCCCAGCTGCTCCGCCAGTTTCCCGTCCCTCGGTGTCGACCTCAGACACCCAGACATTATCAACTTCATCAAAAGTAACTGATCAAACCAACCGTGTTTCTCGATAGATCGCATGGAATAAAGAGATGTGCTGCCTTAAAGCTTGTTCCTCTTTGTCAATTTCATTTCATTTAGATTTGTGTTTCTTTGTTTGTTGTTAATAATTATTGTAGTCAAGTCACTCCACTTCGAGCCCACACTGCTGTGTCCATTTTCTCCCTGTGACATACAATCTTAGCCTGGTAGCTCTGGCCTAAAATGCGTTATGACATTAATGCAACTTTCCCTGCCTTTGAAATGTAAACGTTAATCAGCAAAAAAAAGAGAAAACAAGACTGTATACTTAGAATTCCACGATGTGGTGTTGGCTGATGGAAGTTCGATTGAAAACCATCATTTGCTGTCTTCAAAATTGTGACATCAACTGTTGCTCTAACTCCTATGAAATCAAAAGCAGGAAAGTATATCCTCATTTTTCAGAAAACAAAACATGTGCATGCATTGAACTGAAATGTGGTTGCATATGTGACAATTTTAAGGTGAATCGTCTTTCCAATGGACTCTCTACTCTATTTTACAGGGTATTACAGCATGCACAAATTTATATTTAGTATGTATTATAAAAATTGTATTATTAAAAATATCTGAATTTTAAATGGTTACAAAGACTTGATACAGTGATAATAGAATGTTTTGCCCCTATGCTTACAAGTAAGCGTGGAGTTGTTTTTTTCAATGCATCTTACAATGGTGTGTCGTCTGCTACCCCAGCATATAACGCCATCTGGTAACAATTAATCACCAACTGTCAACTACACACAGGCCTGTGCTGGGACAGTGGAATGCCCTCCTGCGGAGTTCAAAGAAAACTATCCTCACTTTTGAGCAAACTTTTTACCTTGTTCCCCATAGTATGTTTAGCAAGAAGCCACGAACAATATCCGGTATCAAGTCTGCGAATCGTATTGAAGACACTTCTTCACTAGATATATTTACTGTGTGAACCTTTTCAATAGTTACAATTGTACTTGAAGTCGTACTTGCATTCTGAATGGTTTGTTGTATTTTTGCACAAAATCATTCATCGATAGGGGGACGAGTCCTCTTGCAGGAGGGGCGAGTGGTGACGAATGTGTCATTCGATGATCGAGTCAGAATAAACCATCGGGAAACTGAGAAACTATTGGGATAATTGCTGTCATTATCCATAGAATAGTCCACTATCCTGGACATTAGTGTCTAACTGTGACGTCGCTTGGCATTTTACAAGTTTGGGTAACTTTCATATATGTAGTTACGCCTAAGAAACACATCACTTATCTTCTGGCGTAATCTTTATTAATGCGCACATTCCAGGAAAACGTACAATGTTAAGTAATGATGTGAGACATGGGAAGAGATTTTCGAGCACAGAATTGAAACACTATGTATTAGCTCGCTAGAAATAATGTTTCTTCTTAATATAGGATATTTACCCCCACCCCCAAAACAAACAAAATTCAACAAAAAAAAAACAAAAAAAAAAACAAGAAAAAAACAACAACACACATTCGCGTAGAAATCTGAGACGCTTCCCACCTTGGTGAAGCCCTAGAGCATGGGTATGGTTCTTCAAACCTAAAAACATAATCGGGGCGATGCATGCACGAGGATTCGAACCACATCCATGACAGCTTAATGGAACGCGTAAGTTTGTTTGTCGGCTCGGAGTCAGCACACTGTGTCTGAATGGGTTATTCATGTTAAACTGCGGCATGGTATCTCAGTTAGCTAGCGCTATAAATCGGCATCTAGTGACATTTTTGTAATTATCATCAGCCATATTTTCCAATCTGTCAAAATTAATTCCTAATAATTTAAGATATTACCCATTACAATGTCTGTTTTGACAAGTGGTGTGTAAACAACAATAAGGCTGGTTGATTTATGAAGCCATATGGGATTTTGTATCAAGATTAGATATTTTTCAGCAATAGCTACATTACCTGATATTACTTATTACAGTAAACTACGGTTATAACAAACTCAAAGGGACCACTAAGTTTAGTTCATTATAACCGTAGTTCGTTATAAGCATATATACAGCAAATATACTCTAACAGCAAATGGACGGGATCAAAACACTTCGTTATATCCGTCAGTTCGTTATAAGCGTGTTTGTTTTAAATGTAGTTTGCGGTATTTATATCAGACTGGCCTTCTTTTTAAGAAAAACACCTTAAAAAAATGCAATTTTTTTTTTCAACATTCTAAGCATAATTATTGCTTTCAAGAATTGTTGGGGACATTTTTTCGATAAAATCCCAGGACCCCTAACCCAACCCAGGATATCAAATGGTCGGTCCCCAGGAGGCAATGGAATTACGTAGGTCGGGCGGTCATTCTCGCTGACTTGGTTGATTTCATGTAATCGTATCCCATTTGCGTGGAATAATGAGCATGATAAACCAAAAAGCTGGGTTGTCTGGTCTAGATTCGATTTTTTATAGCCATCATATACCTGGCATACTACTGAGTTCGGGAGACACGTGAAGATCCACGGTAGTATAGGTCTTCAGCAACCCATGCTTGCCCTAAAATGCGATTATGCTTGTCGTAAAAGGCGACTAACAGGATCGGGTGGTCAGCCTCGCTGACTTGGTTGATGCATGTCATCGTATTCCAATTGCGTGGATCGATGCTCATGATGTCAATCACTGGATTGCATGGTCCAGACTCGATTATTTACAGACCGCCGTCATATAGCTGGAATATTGCTGAGTGCGGCGTAAAACAACAAACAAAGAAACAAACTGAGTTCGGCGCACATTTCACGTAGAGATTACACAAAATCATATTTTGTACTTGTCCTGTTGAAAAATCTCAACTGATCATACATCGTAACAGTTATAGACGTATCTGAAAAAAAGAGAACCGAAGTTTTCTCATGTATCCTTATTTATGACAGCGATTTTATTTTCTTTACGGGTGGCTAAGTCGTCTAAAGCTCCGGAATTCGCTGTGCATAGTTCCTTCCGAAAGGCGGGCCGGAAACCCATGGTAATGGGTTTGAATCCAATATTTGCACTGATTATGATTCCCAGTCCGTCCGCACCATACTCTACTCGTGGGATAAACCAAAGTGGTATACGTCTTAGACCTGCATCATTTCGGACTTTCCACCCACATCAAGCTGACAAGTCGTGATTTACATTTTACTGAAATACTGTTCAAAGCAGTGTTAAACCAATCTCACTCACTTTCTGACTTACTATGTTATAGGCAATAAGAAGTATCCCTTTTTTGGACGGCGGAACGAACACATTCAAAGGCCTTGAATACGTTCGTAAGGAATCATTTCGACCCGCCAGTGGGGGCCGGGCCGCAGCAAATAGAATTTTGGTGGTAATCACAGACGGAAATTCAATAAATTATACCAGAACCGTAACCGAAGCCAAATACCTTCACCAAATGGGCATTATTATTTTTGCTGTTGGTGTTGGGAGGTTCAACAACAAGGCTGAATTGAATGCCATAGCTACAAACAGCGACAATGTATTCACTGTCCAGAATTTCCAGGGTTTGCCAAACATCAAAGAAGCACTACAAAAATCAACATGTAAGACACTTAAGCCTATATAATTGGGAATATATAATTGATATACATATTGACCTCGAAATAAAAACCATGTGGCTACATTTACATGAGACAGAAAGACATTGTTCTTTTAATTTTATGCAAACACTGGATTTGGAATGCAGTGTTGGCCTATGATAAATTAATCGTGTGTTTTAAAAGTGCTACCAACCTACTTTGGGAGGTCCCCGTTGACATTCATGGGGCGGGCTAAAATGGGTTTTTTTCACAACACATTTTTTCTGGATATTCAGAAAGTAAAGCAAGGGAACAATGCTATTTTGTTTAAATCCTGAGGCCAAGATATAAAATCAACATTACCAAATAAATTGCATTTTACATTTCAGGTGATACGGTGGCCATGGGTATGTATGTAAACAATTGAACAATTTTGTTAGTAATAGTAAGTCTCCATTCGGCATGCCGTCTCAGACCAGTGGAACCTCGTCTGGCTCGTCTGTATGACAATACCATATTGGAACTAGCAATGTGCACATGTTTATCACGTGACACCATGCAACCTGGCGGCAGTCGTTAAGCTAAAATCACTGTTCCTCTTGCGTTCTCTACAGATCAAATCAAATCAAAGGCGCATCCTAAATTATGTTAAGCACAGATTAATAAGTGTAAAAACGGCCTTCGTCAATTGCCTTCATCAAGCAGCGAATGGGAACCCGGTAGGATGAGCTGGTCGTGTGACCATCTAGAGTTTTACTTGGGTTGTATACTCCCCAGGGAGATGATGATGTCATTGAAATCCATAGTGATCCCAGTGTATGTGACATGCATACATGGTGTAGAATCTTATGTAAAATGTATATTATTATTGTTATTATTATGGTTTTTATTATTATCCAATCACTTCAAGTACAACAAAAATGTTACTGTCTTTGGGTCGTAAAAGTGTTCTAGCACAGGATATTGCTATTATTATTATTATTATTATTATTATTATTATTATTATTATAGGCTGTGTAAATGGCCCCATCACTTCAACAAGTACAACTAAATGTAACTGGCCATGGGTGGTGAAAGTGCTTGCTAGCACCAGGAACTTCTCGCATCCCTGGTTTCATCTGTGGCGGTGTGCTTGTCGGGAGATGGAAGGTTATTACCACTGCGTCATGCATCAGCAAGTATGTAAATTAACTTCTTTCTTCAAAAGCATTCAGTTAGAAACACAGCAAACACGAACTGTATCGATTGTACTGTGCAGCTACCAACGGGATCAGGTGGTCAGGCTCGCTGACTTGGTTGATGCATGTCATCGTATTCCAATTGCGTGGATCGTTGCTCATGATGTCAATCACAGGATTGTCTGGTCCAGACTCGATTACTTACAGACAGCCGTCATATAGCTGGAAAATTGCTGAGTGCGGCATTAAACAATAAACAAACAGTTAATCAATCATACGAGTACAATATATATATGCCAATACATGGAACACGGTTTGCCCCGACTTGATTCGAACACACTTTAAGGAC